TATCAATCAATCAATATATATATTTATTTATTTATTCAATCAATGGATCATGAACATTTGTATAAATTTAAATAAGTTCTATTAATTTGGATCAAGTTATGGAAGCTATTTAGGTTTGTCTCAATTGACCCTTACAAAAACTTAAGGGCAAAATGTAGACAGGCTACACTGTACTGTATATCAAATATAAATTAGATACAAAGTATAAATTTGTTAAATTTCGTATTGGACTATTTTAGGCCGGTCTGTACATCTGTAACTCCAGTAGTTTTCCTGGGCACAATTGACTCTATTCAACATGTACAATTCTTGTAAGTTTACTCCCAGTTTCCTGATTTCCTATGCTGTTCACACTAGACTTATGTGTAAACTAAACTGCGTGTCAAAGTAAGTCCTGTGAAATTGGGGAATCTTGATCATAAGTAAGGGGCCGTGCACAAACGTTTTGATCGCGGTATGCGCGGAAATACAGCTTTTGCGACTTCCGCGGGAGATTTAAATAATAAATGTCTACTGCGGTAGACTAACTTTTATTTGTAGCATTATGCTCTTTGGCACAATTTCGACTTGGTAGCATGTAGCATTAATGCTACGCATAATTTCACGAACGCTTACGGTAGCACACGTATTATCAATCAATCAATATATATATTTATTTATTTATTAAATCAATAGATCATGAACATTTGTATTTAAATAAGTTCTATTAATTTAGATAAAGTTATGGAAGCTATTTAGGTTTGTCTCAATTGATCCTTACAAAAACTTAAGGGCAAAATGTAGACAGGCTACACTGTACTGTATATCAAATATAACTTAGATACAAAGTATAAATTTGTTAAATTTCGTATTGGACTATTTTAGGCCGGTCTGTACAGCTGTAACTCCAGTAGTTTTCCTGGGCACAATTGACTCTATTCAACATGTACAATTCTTGTAAGTTTACTCCCAGTTTCCTGATTTCCTATGCTGTTCACACTAGACTTATGTGTAAACTAAACTGCGTGTCAAATTAAGTCCTGTGAAATTGGGGAATCTTTAACATAAGTAAGGGGCCGTGCACAAACGTTTTGATCGTGGTATGTACGGAAATACCTCTTTCGCGACTTCCGCGGGAGATTTAAGACGTTATATTCATGAAATTTGCAAAAAATGTCTACCGCGGTAGACTAACTTTTGTGATGCAGGGCATTCTATAAACAACGAAATGATATTCAAATCGTCAATGAAATAGATCGTGCGATTGATATTTAGGGTGCGATTGATAATTGGGGCCGTATAGGCAAGGTCTAGAGTGCAAAGGCGGGTGTAAATCAATACGCACAAAAGCCATGAACTAGGCCTAGCTAGAGGCCCTAGACTAGATTCATAAAATTCCACTGGCGAACGAGCACCCCGGTAATCTACATACCTTGGTGTTTGACGTCCGTGTATGTTTGCAAAGGTCACTGTAGTCAACATTGCTATATATATATATATATATATATGTATATATATATATATATATATATATATATGCATATAAAAATAAAAAAGATAGGTCCACCTATTTGGATAGACAACAAGTGAATGCGTACACAACCAAACACAATGGCGTGCAACACACAAACTTGCCGCGCAATCAAACGAGAACGAAAAAAATGTCTTTGTGCGCCGTTTTATGTAAGAATACGTCACCATACAGTGTAAAACTGTGATTTTTTTTAATGGAGAAATAAAGTCCGAGTATAACAATTATTCTTTGCCAGTCTATCCTTTATAGTATAATTATATACAATTTTCATACTGACATTGACTTTTGTGTCGAAAAACTTGTTGGAATCAAAATGGTGGAACTTCTCGCAGGAATACTGCGGTGTGTTTGCTTGATCGCCTCATTATACGAAAGTCCATTGCAATAAAATCATGTATGCCTCATAGAATACAACTACTAACTAATAAATGAGCGGGAATACCGCGGAAGCTTGGTTTGAACGATAATGTTCACTGCAATCATGTATAACTACAGGTATATCTATAAGCGGGTATACCGCAGTATTGTAGCTAGCTTGACTCGATGCTAGGATGCCCTGAAGATCGCCATGGAGCCCTATTGCAATCAGAGTCAGGAATAGCATTATTATAATAAGCGGGTATACCGCGGAAATTAGTTTTAAACTTGGTGGTCGGATGCGATCATGGGACTATTTGGCGATCAATAGGCCAAAAACTAGAACTTTATACCCGGGAATAACGCGGTAGATTGAACACAAGAGGCCCATTGCCAGTCAAAATCATGTAGCGTACAGCTGCTAATACCGCATAAGCTTGATTCATATCATTGCTATTTGTCACGGCCCATATGTATTTGTCTACTATAAAAGTCACTGGGTATACCGTGCAAACGGTAGCTAAACTTGACTTTTTACAAAACTTGTTTTACATTTATAATATTAAATGAGTGAGTGTTGGCTACATGGCACCGTGCGGGATGTCAGTGAGTTTCATTACTCAATCAAGTGGACTGGATATCAAGCTAAAAACTGGGTTGAGAAACAAAAGTGCAGCTACTGAAGCGGAGTGGATTCACTGTGGACAAATCTAATTTCCACGTCTTCAAGTGTCCACAAAATTTGCAGGCAGGTGACAAGGTATGCCGCATTAAAGCTGATTCTTCAAAGGGACAGACACTTACCATATCCATCAACAACAAATTCAAGTGCGAGGTAAGACATTTTTAAAGACCATTCCTCAATTAGATTGTTTATTTAGCCGTTATATGTTATTGGTTTGTGTTTTTACCAAAGAATTTTAAAACTAAATACGCAAATACATCGTAAAAATTGAACAAAGTTTGTTGACATGTATCATGATCGATCGCCAGGCTAGGCTGCACCATTTCAAATATGGGGTGGCGTATTTAAAATAAAACATTTTTTAATGTGGTTTGAGCAATAGAACTGACGATTTAGGTTATTTCGAAGAATGTTTGGTTGTATTATTGTATCTTATGTAATATTTTTACCTTAAGCCAAAATGCACGTTTTTATCTATCTGTTTTTAATTAATTATAAACCCTAAATAATAAGTGGTACATTATTTCCTAAAAATCATCATCCAAATTAGAATTCCTCAATAATATTATTACTGTACTTTATTGCTTCCTTAAAATAATCCAGTAATGTAATATTATTGTCTTATGTTTTTTTAATATGAAAACTGCATCTTTGTAAATTCAAATATAATTAAATATATTTTATTATTTTAGATGATGAATATTTTAGAAATCTAAAAAATTCATTTCGGAAGAAAGGACGTGTAATAATGTAATACATTATAATTACAATGTAATATTATTGTCTTATGTTTTTTTAATATGAAAACTGCATCTTTGTAAATTCAAATATAATTAAATATATTTTATTATTTTAGATGATGAATATTTTAGAAATCTAAAAAATTCATTTCGGAAGAAAGGACGTGTAATAATGTAATACATTATAATTACAATGTAATATTATTGTCTTATGTTTTTTTAATATGAATAACTGCATCTTTGTAAATTCAAATATAATTAAATATATTTTATTATTTTAGATGATGAATATTTTAGAAATCTAAAAAATTCATTTCGGAAGAAAGGACGTGTAATAATGTAATACATTATAATTACAATGTAATATTATTGTCTTATGTTTTATTGCTTCCTGAAAACAATCCAGTAATGTAATATTATTGTCTTATGTTTTTTTAATATGAATAACTGCATCTTTGTAAATTCAAATATAATTAAATATATTTTATTATTTTAGATGATGAATATTTTAGAAATCTAAAAAATTCATTTCGGAAGAAAGGACGTGTAATAATGTAATACATTATAATTACAATGTAATATTATTGTCTTATGTTTTTTTAATATGAATAACTGCATCTTTGTAAATTCAAATATAATTAAATATATTTTATTATTTTAGATGATGAATATTTTAAAAATCTAAAAAATTCATTTCGGAAGAAAGGACGTGGACGGCCAAAAAAAATCAAGGATACGCCACTAAGCAACAAAGTGCTGGTACAGCTGAATTTGTTGCAGAAAAGTAATGAATGTACTTGGCAGGTTCTGTGCGACTATTTGCATGACAGTTGGCCACTTTACCCCAAAAATAAATGGAGGAATGCAGTTGAGTCAGCATGGGCTACAACCTTGAAGTTAACATCAGAAGAAGACAGGGCTGCATTTTATAGTATGCCATTTGAAATCAATAATATTGGTAAGTTAAAAATTACTTTTTCATGATTATGTGGTAATAAGTTTAATACAACCATCCCCTAAATTGTTAAATTTTTGCAACCTATTCTATGCCACCAATATTATTTGGGACACACCCTGTTCTCATTACCATGATAATCAAATTGTTTATATAATTTAGAATACACCCTGTCCCTGACCACAACCAATCTAACAAGTGATATTTTTATTAAGGGACCATATTTTTCTGTACGCAATGGTGGTCCCTTAATTTACTTAGCAATAATATATTTTTTTTTTTCAAAATGTTTATAAAAATATATTTTCAGGGCCATTTTGTACCGAAGAAAGTATCTTGCAGAACCGCTTTCACCATGTGAACCATCATCTATCAACTTTGGTGTTTTGTTGGAATTGTCAACAAATGCCAGCAGTGTTTGGGAGGCAATTAATGTGATACGTCCAGATGTTTTTGTCCAAAAAATCCTTAAGAAGAAACTTAAAGATGTAAGTATATTAGTTAATATGCAAACTGTACTTTCCTGTTGTGTTGATCTGTAGAGTTTGGTGTTTGTTTGATATTTTGTATGTACAAATCATCTTGAATGGATTTGTTTCAGACACCATTTTAAAATACAGTATTAACTTAATTTTGTTTTCAATTCATTCATTCATTCATTTTATTTCACTTGTAATTTGCAACTTAACTTAACTACTACAAGTGCTGAGGACCAAGGAGGCCATAGGCCTGTAATTAAGGTCCCCGGACTAATCTAATGACTTAACTAATAACAATAAATTAAAAGGATTAAAAAATCGAAAAAAAAAAAATTTGTTTTTAATAATCACAGGTTCGCAATCAATGTGCAAAACTGAAGAAGACTGCCTCCAAGAAACCTGAACTTGATGCACTGCTTTCAACTAGTCTCATTGATGCGTTGAGCCAGCCAAAGAGAAATGTCGCAGTTCCAGTAACATCTGCACCTGTTGAACCTGTTTGTCGTTCAGATCACCAGAAATATAAGCAAATGTGTGAGGACTTGACCACGACTGTTGACACACTCAATTCCCATTGTAAAAGCCTTCACCAGCAGAATGTTGCCACTCAGGTAGACTTTGAAAATAAAGTTAATTAAAGCAAACTATTAAGCAAAATGCAGAACTGGAAAAGAAAATTAAATGTGTAGAAAATAAAGTAGCAACACTTGCTGACGAACTTTGTCAGGTGAAAAGTGAGAATCTGTACCGTAGAAATTTACACCGTTCAAGGTATTTAAGTGAAAAGGCTAATGACTTGGCATTGAAAGAGAGCAGGTTAGCAAACGTTAACGAAAATGAGTTTATTAGTCTAAAGAATCAGTTAAGAGCGACATATCAGAAACTGTTAACATGTAAAAACAGAACTATTAAGCAATTAAATAAGTTACGTATTACCAAAAAAAAGTGCAAGAAGTTAGAGTCAATGTGTAACATGCATGAAAACATAAATAGAAAGCTTAAAGAATCTTTAAATAAATTAACTCTTAAATATGATGATTTAGCAGCACAGGGGACAGAAAATTTGAAGAGTGTTAATGACAAATTTCAAACAAGAGTTGGAGGTTCTGGAACCAGATTTAAGGATGGTGTAGAAGCATGTGTTATGGAATTGGTTGGCGAACTAGATGTGCCCACTACAAAATGTGCAAAAATTATCCAGTCTGTTGGCAGGTGGGTGTTCAATGAACCGATATCACAGAACTACATGTGATAATGTAAAGATAATCGGGCAGCAAATAACCCTGAATTCTGGAAAGACCTTGTCTACAGGCTTTAAGAATGTACACACAGAAGACAGCAACACACTACTGAATAATGCCATTTGTTTGTTGGAAGAATTGAGTGAAGTATATAGTGAAGAAGAGAAGAAAGAGGTATTCGAAGAAATGCTGTTAAAAATGTTTGCTACAATGACAGATAGAGCCAGCGTTAATAAATTGTTCAACGAGAAATTACATCAATACAGAAATACAACATTGGGAGAGGCAACGCCAGATTTGCACTATTTACATTGCAATGCCCATTTTCTTCTCGGACTTTCAAACGAGGCCGATAATAAAATAAAACAAATCGAATCAGACAATGAGCTCGATGTAGGCCTAGCTCTAGGCCTAGATGCAATTACTTCGGATAATGAAGAATCTGAAATTCTTATGGACACGACAGAAAGTGACGGAAGCAGAAGAACAAGGTAGGCCAGCTATAATTGTGGACCCCGGCCTAGATGCTGTTGATCGCCTAGGCCTAGCCAAACAAGCTAACGAGGAAGATTGGGTACGATATATTGTTAGATACATCAGCAACTACGCCGACGTGAATGGTATGGTAATTCCTTGGAAAGTAAAGGGTATTAAATGTCAAGTCCCGAGAGTTTGATTGCCGCCTTCCTGTGAAAGTCTAGAATGTGGAGGAAATATGAAGCACGTCAGCTCAAGGAGGTCAATGAGGTCAAAGCGAGACGTCGTGTTGCCAATTAGCCTAACTTTCTAAACTAGTTCTTTCATGGTCGGAGTAAAGTACAATCATTAAAATTCCAAGAACTACAGTACGAGCTTTATGTATCTAAAATTTAATGTGAAATACAAATTTGTAATTGAAAAATGGGCCTTTGACCCAGCAGGGAACACGTAGGCTTGAGTATCATTGAAATATGGAATAGTAAGTAATTTTTATATTTATTCGGAAGCTACACTCTTTGAACAGTGGCACACTTTAAAAAAGTGAAGGTGCATCCAAAAGAAAAAATAGTACTTTAAAAGAGACTTGACAAAATAATGCTTAACTATAATGAAAAAGCAAAATGCACGAATAAAAGAATACACAGTGAAGGAACTTAAAATAATGCTTAACTAATAGAAGTAAAAAATAACGACCAACTAAAGTGAATGCAAAATAGCAAACAAAACAACTAATTTCCATCAATGCTAAATATACATGAACACACAGATATAGTGATCAGTTGCTAGGCAACGAAAGTGACCGTCATCCACCCAGAATGCAAGAGGGTCATGTTACCTCTGAAGTCTTCGTAAAAGCGTGGTTTACGTTTCGCGGTAAATCACTTTCGCGCGCTGTGTAACAAACACGATCATACAAGAATATCTCATCAAATATTATAGAACGTTTTCACAGGGTAAGGAAGTTAATTCACTGAAATTAGATAAGAATGGATGAAGATACCGCTGCTAATTTCGACGAGGATATAGGCCTGAATGCATCCTGGATTAATTCTGTACGAATGGATGATGATAATGCCGAAGATCACTTGGACAACACTTTCCTGTATTCGGACGATAATCCAGACGAAACAGATATGGACCTAAGTGCATCTTGGATTGACACGCTGAAGGATGCAACAGACACAGGTCCTCTGTACGAAGGATCCAAACTCACTGTGGTCGATAGCATCGCACTTCTGCTCAGTTTTAGTTTAGAACACAATGCTACCATTCGGGCTTTAATAAGTCTACTTGCTATAATACGGCTACATATGCCTAAAAATGTGAAGGTGTGAAATCATTTGAAGTCACTGTACTATCTGAAGAAAATGTTTGATTATGGTAAAAAAGACACAATAACGAAGCACTACACATGTAGTCACTGTAGCATGATATGCGAAAATCAAGCTGCTTGCCGTTGCGGGATGGACTTGTCGAAAAAAAGGATTATTTCATTACGGTAGATGTTGCAAGTCAACTTGAGGAATTATATAAAGGTTAGTACATTCACCATGTTTATTACCGATGTAAAACTGGTTCTCACAATCATTTTATATTTAAGTAATTTTTAAGTTCTGAACACTTGGAAAGAACTTATAAATAATACAATACATAACATGCTCTTGTGATACAAATTTGAAGTCACTGTACTATCTGAAGAAAATGTTTGATCATGGAAAAAAAGACACAATAACGAAGCACTACACTTGTAGTCACTGTAGCATGATATGCGAAAATTCGTTGCGGGATGGAATTGTCGAATATCAATATTTCCCAAATTTTTAACACAAGTGGGAGTGATAATCTAAAAAATGTTTCTATGTGCCCTTAATAAGAATTTTATTATTAAATTATGAAATTATTTTAACACAGATATATAAGATTTTTTTTTTTTACAGATCAAGACTTCTTACCAGCAATTAATGCTCAGAAACAGTCCAAACAAGGTACCGGTACTATTATAAAGGATATATATGATGGTGAGAACTACCATAAGGCAATTGAAAGTGGGTATACTAGGCATCCTAGGAACCTTATTGTTACTTGGCACTTCGATGGAGTTCAAGTTTCAAAAAGCTTCAAATTAGCAATCTGGCCTCTCCATAGTTACAGTACCGGCCAGTTTTATTGCAAAAATCCCAACGCGTTTTACCCGTTGTCGTTGCGTTGCGTTTGCGTTGAGTTGCGTTGCGTTGAAATGAATGTTGAGAGTACATTGTTTATTTAACGATGTCGTGTTCGCGTGTCAATAATTGGTGATAGTTAATACAACGCCCTAACTTATCTAGCAGCAACGTTATCAAAGATTATCAATAAACAACATTCGTTGATTTTGGACACCGAAGTATTGTTTGTATAGTACGAATCTTTCAGTATTTATTCTCGTATTGCCTCGCCAGTCTAGGCGTAGAGGAGAGCGATATCACTGTCTCTTATACACATCTAGATGTGTATAAGAGACAGCATTAGCCCTGGCATTTAATATTTGGTGAAACTTGAATATACAAATTAGAAAACTCCTGTCTCTTATACAATCT